ATATATATATATATATATATATATATCATATGATGGCTTTGGCTGCTTGTGATGTGAAACTAGTTGGTTGATATCGATGGATTGATTGTGCATATCGGAGATCATTGTGCATTTGATTGGTTTGAGAGTTGAGTTGAACCGAGAGTCAGTCAGTGTAGCGTGCTGAATGAAGCCAAATTGTAAGCAGATTTTGCGCACAAGTAATTCATCAAAATTTTTCAAAATCAAAATTCATAAGCCATTTTCCATGGAATTCTCTCTTTTTTAAAATTTTCGATGTGTCATTATTGATGAGTGAGTGTCTAGATGCTGAGCAATCAATCTGACGAAGAAACTGCCGAAAAAAATGTATACGTCGTTGGGATTCAACTTGACATTGCCGGATTAGGGCAGAGATTAGATAGAACATCGCCGAAGCTTGGCTGTCCTACTTACATAATCCATCCATCTCATGTTCAATGTCCTCTTCAAGCAGTTTTAGTGCTTATTGCTTTTCTAAGCATTCGTATTTCCTTGAAAGAGTGAAATTTTCGAAAATTTTGTAAAAAACCTGGAAAAAATGGACAGTTTTCCAAAATATTTCAACGTTAGTTCAATGAGATTTGTAGGCGAGTGCAGTGTGTCAAGTTATGTGAGGCAGACCAAAATGCCTAATCCAGTCAGACGTCATAAATAGGGAGGATGGATTGATTCTGGGATTTAGTTGGGGATCAGCGAGAATGAGAACTTGAGTTCAGCTCGGCCTTCTTGCATAAATCATTTGGCATTACTTGGATGCCAAGCGGAGTTTAATTCCTGTGATACAGTCTGTGCTTGTTGAACTTAGGTTCCTGTATGAAAGCTAGACGCTCATAGGTTCTGGGTGGCTTAGACTTAGTTTTCATATGTTCGGCAGTCTAATGTCCTACCTCCCCCTTCCCTCCCCTTTAGATGAGGTTGAGGGAGGGAGATTTTATTTTAGTGAAATGTTTGTAAACGCAGGCAGCGAGTGCGGTTGTTGTATGTATATGTTAGGCGCACTTGTAATTATAATTAATTTTTACTGTGCGTAATATTTTCAGTGTTTTCAGGTGGATAATTGTGTGGTGCATGCCTACTTAGTTGCATAACCAATGTACTTGGCAGAAGAGAGTCAGGGCGCAGCAAATGGGCCACTGCCCTCTTGTAGTATATGCTTGGGATCGTCCGATGCCGATTATATGGTGAGCACGCACCTTGTGCATAGCTTGAGCCTGAAATTTTGTAGCTCATTTCAAGGCTAATTGTAAGCCGGAACATACCAGCACCACCTCCAAAAAAGCGTTAGCTTCAAAATTTGAAATATGCTAATTGGTGTGGTATTTTAGTGATAGGAAAAATATTCGTTCTAAAAACACTGCTCTACAGTCATCACAAGAATTGAATTTTAAAGATACTTTTAAAGTGGTCGTTAATGGAAAGAAGGATTTCGTTGGTCATAAACTGTAGTCTTATCTGTATTAACTGTACGCGTCTTGATTCCACTTCATCCAATTGAATTCAGTTGCGCTTTTCGCTTCAGCTTCAGCTGACAAGGGAACGTCACGAACTGAACCTGGCGTTTCGGGATGAGATATACATCAGATTGTAGAACTCCTTGAGCTGATCACGAATATGCAAAAAATTTTTGCGAAATACAAAGGGGACGCGAGATATGGCGGGGAAAATATTTTCAATGCATTGAAGTGATGTTCTGATTTTCGATCCGTCAGCAGCGGCTTGGCCTGGTGGATAGTGCACTAGCACCATGTCTGGGTGCTTGGTGGTCCTTACAATTTGATGTATATCACATCTCGAAACGCTGGGTTCAGTTCGTGACCTTCCCTTGTGAGGTTGGCGACTAGCTGGAAGAGGGGGGGAGGGGTGGAATGTTTGCCAAAAGCACTCATTATGCCACAGTTAATATGTTTTCTCTGACAGACACTATTCATAACTATTTTGCAGCGCTACAATATGGCCGTATCCGGTGTAATTTTACCGATAGTTGGTTTGATTGGGTTATGCGGCAATTTTTTGGTGGTGATGGTATATGGAAGTGCTGAGCAACGCATAAACTCCACGAGTGTATATCTGGCCGCATTGGCAGCATCGGACTTTTTGATGATTTGTACAGCATTGGTTTTGTATGTGCTAGAAGCATGGCGATATCACGGACCGCCTGGTTAGTATTACTAATAATGATGATATTAATAATAGTAATATTGATAATAATACTGTTACTAATAATAGGAATAATGAATATTACAGTGATCGCTACTGTCTACGGTCGTACAGCTCCTTATGTATTTCCGCTGAGCACCATTCTACAAACGACGTCTGTTTATTTTTGTGTTGCGGCTGCCGCAGATTGTTTCATCGCGGTTGTCTTACCAAACAGATTCAAGAATTCGTATTGCACAGCAAGGTAGACTTATTTTCCATTAATTTCCATTAAAATTATTGAATATTATTATTATTTAATGTTTATTTATATTAAAAATCAGGTGTGCCAAATTAACAGTGTGTTGCATAGCAGTCATGTCGATATTGTATAATGTCCCGCATTGGTTTGAACTGGCATCAATTGACTGTTTGGATGAACGATATAACTTGTCGCTATCTGTGCAGATTTGTCCGACTGGTTTGTTTGTTTCCTTTCATTCTTTTATAATGGCATTTGTTTTAAAATCTTTAATTTGTGAACTTGCAGAATTGCGCAATAATGAGCTATATTATCAATTGTATTATACGTATATGTACACAATATTCATGGCAGTTGGTCCGTTGCTGCTAATCGTCATATTGAATATTTGTGTGGTCAGGGCTGTGCTCAAGATTGGCGCTTCGGGTATGTTGCAGCAGTAGTTATTTCTCGAACAGAACGTGAGATGCTTGTTCCGAGACGTTTATTTTGAACAAGGCAATTTGGGTGGAGCGTACCACCTACTGTAATGCGTGAACGTTCTATGTGGACAAAAAGAGAGAGAGAGAGAGAGGGGGGGGGAGTTTTATTGCTGTAAGTTAGTTATTTTGAGCGACGTCGAGTTTTATTTCTGCAAAAAAAGCCACTTTCAGAGGACTCCGATACAGTGAGCTTAATTCTAGTGGTATTTATGTTTATTATCTGTAATGCTGCTGCGTTGTTGGTGAACTTCATCGAAATGCTTTTCGCTGAAAAGGTTTGTTGTAGTGTCTGTTTTAAGCATTTTGTCGTTTTGCCATCCAAGAGGAAGAAAATCATTTTTACAGGTTTTCTGTTTTTTGTTTTTTTTCATTCCGGTCGGATTGGAAAGTATTTTCTGGCTTTCATTTTGGAAAGTGTAATAACAATGTAATAGACATACATACATCTCGGTCGTTAGTCAAAATTGCATTGCAACGAACGCCGCATCTCATTTTGCAGATATATCATATATTGGTGTATTTGGTGGATATGTCGAACCTATTGGTTGTCGTCAATTGTACTGGAAATTTTTTTTGTTATTTCTTTTTCGGCAATAGTTTTCGGAGAACTCTGAAGCAGATTTTGTTCGGCAAACGCACCGGCAAGCTGGACAATCATCGACTGTGGGCAGCTTCGCATCCTGAAACGTATATTGTCAGACGGCTGTCACCAATCAAATAACAAATAATAATGCATCTCACGTGGTCTTTCGGGTAATATTACCCAAGAGTGGCCTGAATTACCCAAAACCCAGTCAGTTCGGTGATATTCTTTCTTTACTCGTCCAGATTATATAAACTCATTGATTTTATGAAGTACTGTATAAATGTTTTTATGAGAGCATTGCGTTTTCGCTCATTCACGCAACATGTTTGTATTGATATCTTATCTCGTCATTTTTGTGCAGCATTTCAACAGTTCATTTCACTAGGTGTTTGGTACATCATGCTACCCACCCCATCACTATTGGGTTGCTCAGCGACGTGACGGATGCGCCTACCTCGGTCATAAGTCGTCATAAGCGGTTGGTCGGGTCGGTCGGCAATTTTTAGATGTTAGTATCGTTGCTGTTCATCTTTTAAAAACAATTCTCGAAATATTTTATTGAGCAGTACCGCCAGAAAAAATAAAATATGTTTTTAAAAACATTCCCATTTTGAATATTGATGGTCACGTTTGATAAATATGAGTATTCGACAATCGTAATAAATAATAACTGTTGTAACAGTGGTATTAGTTTAAGTAAGAGTAATGATAAGTGGGAATAATAAGGGTAAGAATGTTCACAATGAAAATAATAGTAATTGAGAACATCAAGCAAATATTATGTGACTAGGTTGTTGCTATTATTATTATCACTACTATCGTTATTACTGTCAATACTATTATTATTATTATTATTGTTATTATTATTATTAAACAAACAATAATAATAAGATTTTCTATAACGAAGAAAATAAAATGCATAATATAAGTAGCATCATTGTATGATAAGTAGGGTGTATTATAAATAGACGAGCCTTCTGTATCTTTGATGCTTATCTTCTGCACTAATTCCTAATGAGCCTCTTGCCCTGGAGTGTCTGAGCCGACTGTAGCAGTTAGTTGTCAACTGGAAAGGAACCAATTGTCTAGGAGGCAAACGTCCTGTGTCGCAGTCATTTACATAAGTCTGACAGTAAACAGTGATAATAGCATCTTAGTAACATAATAATAATAATAATAGGAAAAAAACATCAACAAGCATAGGCAATAGTATCTACCGGGTTTGCCAATGGGTTGTGGGCGGAGTTTGGCATCTTTGCATTAATCGAAAATATTCTAAGCTCCTCCCACGAAGCACTATCAAAAGCCTAAGCCGCAAGAACTTTTGTAAAGTTCAATAATAATATTGGAGCGCACTCATCTTAAATTATCTCAGATCACAATATTTATTATAACACGTCAGTAACAAATCAATTACAACACTTGCTATTGTTTTTATTGTATATTTATAATTTACTTCAAATATTATTATTATTATTGATGTTATTGAATCCAATAATAATTTTTCGTGCACGCCCACTGGTCGTTATTTTGGCTGTACTAAATCCTGTCGGATTATACCAGTCAGCTTTAATTGGTACCGAATAACTTTTAGCTGTTGGTGATACGTGCGCATTTTGAGGAGCGCTCTCATATTCAGTTCGTATGATTGATACCTTAATTATTTTATTATTAATAGTGTTATTATTTGTTATTATTATTATTATTATTATTATTATTATTATTGCAAAGTATTGAATTAGTAACCGTCATATTATTCAAATCGGACTGTTTTTTGGTTGACATTGACAAATTATTTTCGTGATCATTGTTGTTATCGCTCATAATTGCGCCATCGTTCATATTATTGTTATTTTCATGATCAGCATTTGCATTAATATTATTCGTTTGTGATAGAGATGAGTGAGTTCGATGCGAATATGAATTAGTAGTGTCGTTATTGTTTCGAATGGTCACGCAGCATTCCGAATAAATATCCGAATTATTCGACAGATCGCGAGAGTGAGTCGACCAATAGGCTGATGTCTCGGAATTGTTCGATGGGGACGGGGGTGAGGGAGGCAGGGGATTAGAACGATAACACAAAGGGGGGGCTTCTGGCTGGGGTTGGACGGGCAACGTTTCATCGGTACATTGGGGTATAAGGCTATCAGCGGTACTGTTCACGTTGTCGCGCATTGCATTCATCTCATTAATGCTGCTACCATCAATATTACTACTATTATTATTATTATCGTTATCGCCGATAGTGTTATTACAATAAAAGTATGAACGTGATGTGGAGGGTAGCACGTCCGTTGCAGCATCACCAGGCGCCAGCAGCTTGCTTCTGTCATCAGAATATGACACTACGCTCGTTGACGCGCTGTTGTTATTATTTGCAGTAGTGTTATCGCTGACATTATCACTGACAACAGTAGTCTTATCAGTAGTCTTATCGAGTGCATCGTCAGTGTCATCGCAGCTGTCATGAACGTCGCTCTTCCGCGGATGAACGAAAGTGAGTGCATCTTTTCGCCATATTGGAGCACTGCACTTCTGTGCCTTGTGTGGCTTTGGTGCTAGCTGATAAACGCTCGCGTAATGCATGGTTGTGCTGAGAGCATCACTCCGTGCACAGGTCTCTGTATTATCTGAGCCAGTAGTCCTCCCTTGTCCGAAAGGCTCACTGTGTCCCTTGGTGGCTTCAGCAGTGCCAATTGTTCCCGTCCCAATCTCAACAGTTGAGTCAGCAGTTTTACCAATAGCCGCCAAATGCCTACCGCTAGAATCGTTATCATTATCAATGTCCGGTGCCCTCTGGAAAATGGAAGCGATTAAGATGGGCGTCGATTGTTGTTGGTCGACGAGCGTTCTGTTAACGGAAGCAGGTCTAAGTGTAGGATGCACAGATTCCGTGGGTGATTCATTTGGTGTCATGATGCATTTTACTGGAATCGCTTCGTAAACGGGGGGTGAAGAGAAGCCTAAGCCTAAATTGGCGATCGAATTCGGTGCATTTGCTGATTGGGGAGAGGGTGAGTGGGGCTTGACAGGAATCGGTATAGGAGAAGAGACGTTGTTAGCGGGAGAGCTTGCATGAGAAGTAGAATTGAGGAGAGGTGGTGAGTTAGATGACGACGGGTTTACTGAGGGTTCTGGCCTGGAAGTGTGCGAATGGGGGATCAAAGCAGTAGAGATTGAAGCAGCTGGAGGCCATCTTCGACTAATACTACCCTGTCGTGAGCTATTGGCCAATGCCAATGCCCATGGCTTAGGAGGAAACGTTTTTGGCTCGAGCGCTGTGCTTGTTTTCGTCGCGAGCAGCGATAATTGTTGCGGCGTGATTGGTCTGCATATTGCAGTGGGCGTGGCTGGCAGAAGCGGTGTTGGCGAAGAGGTAACGTCATTCTTAATGTTATTATTATGATTATTATTATTATCATTATTATTATTATTATCATTATAGAGTGGTTTAGAATGTTGATTTGATGTTTCGTTTACGTTAATCCCATGAGCGATATCCGGAGTGCACGATGAAGCCTTGTAAAGAGGTTGGCATTGAGAAATTGCCACTGGGCCAACACCACCAGTGCCTTCATTTGATGACATTGTCATAATGTGCCGTCTCATGGCACCATCGTTCTTATAAATGATGTTTTTTTTATTATTATTGTCATTATTATTATTATTATTATTAATGCTATTATCGAATCTTTGAACTATCTTCTTAATGCTGTTCGTATCAGCAAATGATCGATTTATCATTTTGTCGCCGCCCCAGTAGCTCCTTCTCGAAGAAATATCGCCAGCACTGGTGAAATCAATTTTACCAGCAATTTTCAACTGATTCCTGTTTTGCTTTTCACTGTGATCTGCGAGCGATTGTTGTTGCTGCTCTGTAGTCATATTGCCACCGACATCGTTAATAGTACTAATAACGTTATCAGTTTTATCAGTTATATGTTTGAGATCATCATTGACATTGGTATCGTTATCATTAATGAGCGAGCCAATGGGCAAATCGTCATCACGTCTCATATATGAGCTTCTAATAGGACTTTGTGACTGGGCTCTTAGATGATTATAGATTGCGCCAATATTAGTATTGTCATGAGCCTTATTGCAAGCAGCAATATGCCCTTGCCCTCCTGCCGCGGGATTATTCGACTTCAGTGCAGACTTTACAGGCTCTTGTAGACCTCCATGGTGGCCATATGGAAGGTCAATTTCATGCCTTTTGAACTCATTGGAGTCTCTTCTTGACCCGTACTGCTGTTGTCGTTTCGGGCGGAATGCTAGCCCCGCAGCCGGAAATTTGGTTGTTGCCGACAGTAGGGGAACTTCTGAATGTCTGCCTTCGATGGATTGTAGCCCTTTTTCGGGTAATGAATCTGTTAAAAATAGGTTATTGAGAAGTGCAATACGACTTTTTGCACTACCTACTGGTATTTCCGACTGAATTTGTTCTGTGGAGATTAATGGTGATGTCCAACGCTCGTCCGCTTCTACTCTAGCCTTTTTTGTGTAGTTGTTAGTGTTGCTATGAAGATAACCCCCATCGTCGAGTTGACGAACCTTTTGATCTTCTTCTTGCACCATGTGAACTCCTTGTTCGACCCTCGAGTCCCACTGATCTCCTTCTTTGAGCACATGACCCTCTTCTTTCATCACCAGATGATCCTTATTCTTCTCAGAATAACTCCGAGCCACCGTGCTGTCGACAACGTTCAACTGATTCAATTGATCAGCGTGACATTTTTCTGGTTGCTTCGATAGGCCCGAAGCTTCACGAGTGTTGAGCCGAGCCCCACCTCTAGCTGCAACAGACTTTTGACCTGTCGCCTGACCTTCATCGATGGCTCCTCCCGTCCCCGCACCGCTATATTCTTCTCTTTTAACCTCAAGTGGGTTCCTTTTCTCTTCTCCGCTATTGTTTATATTATCAGTACATAAAATATTATTATTGTATGTATTATTATTACTATTTCCAACAATCGGTGCACTACGATCATTTGTGACGACTCTCCGCAACTGGCGCCCACCTCTGATTTCTTTCAGCAATTCGTCACGATTTACTTCTACTTTACCGCCGAATTTTAATGATAGTTTTTTATTAGCATTATTATTATTATTATCCTTGGAGATAGGCGGTGGAGCGATGGGATAAGGTGGAGGTGATTTTTGCACTGGACGAGATGTCGATGACGTGGTCACAGCGTTGACTGAGGTTTGATTTCTAATATTGTTATTGCTTTTTCTGATATTGTTTATATTATCATTCATATTATTATTACTATTGTTATTATTATTTCGTTTCGATGAAATTGGATTTAAAATTTCGCCTTCCACAACAATTACTGGTTTACTTTTATCAATGGTTTTTGTTGGCCTTAGTCGATACCCTTGCTTGATCTCCTGTAAATAATGATAGTAATAACGGGAATAATGATAATAACAAGTAGAAATAATAATTAATGAGAATAAATAATAGGTAATACATTAACAAATAATTAAAACTAACTTCAAGAATCGGATGACCCACGAACATTTTTGATTAGTTTATTTCACAAAATTTTTTACAATGAATAATATTAAAATAACAAATTTCACCCACTTTCGTTTAATACACCTGAAAGATAATGATATTATAATAATGTTAGTAACAATAGTTAATAATAGTAATGATGCAAGCAATTAAAAGTAATTATAATAAATACGTTGTGGGCAGCAACGTTACAAACTTTGTGGACAGTCTGGCCAATCCAGGTAATAATTGATAGAGCCAATGTGAAAATTTCAACTTCACAATGATGAAATGATGAAAACAAATGCAATGAACTAACAAATATTTAAACATACGTTAACAATAAGATTGTTTTGAAGGCAAATAACAGCACATGATGTTAATTCGCTCATCAAAAACTATTCCCTCTAACTCACTCCCTTCAACAACACATTTTGATCGGTGCTCTGCTCTCTGCTCATCTATAAATTCACCCCAGGCAATGGATTGGATTTAGATTTTGTGTCTGACCTGACTGACTTAAGGCTAAACATAAAATATTCAATCTCGTGAATGAAACAGACAACTGGAAGCAATCTTACTTCCAGGTGGATGAAGTTTACAGCCCTCAAGATTAATTCATCAAGATTCAAGCCGATCATGCATCCATTCTGTGATTATTCAGTGCAGAGGGCAGGGCGTTTATTATCTCAGTTGCGTGATTTATTTATTTACCGTGACGTAACGAGTACGAGAATCATACGATGGAATCGACATATCCTCCAAAAAACTGCGAAAATGATGGACGCCTTCGTGGATTCAAACTCAATCACGTAAGGAATGCTGCATATTTATTATTCCAATCATTTAATACTAGAATAATAAACTGATAATAATAGTAATAATAATAATAATAATAATAGATATAATGATAATAGTAAAGAATGGTATTACTAAAAAATGAATGCTACCGACCGACCGGACAGAGCAGCGTCACAAACTTAAACTCAACTAAAAGAAGCATATGTAAGCGTCGTCTCAATAGGGTGCGCAGCTTATTGGCAAACATTCCAAGCGTTATATTAAACATTATGCAAATACAACAATTAGAATGAATGTATAAAATGTGAATGAAACTATACTGGTATAATTGTTAAGATTTAAGTAAACACTAAAACGATATGCATATTACTTTCTCATACGATACCTATTACTATAGAAAGGTTGAGCTAAAGCCTTTTCTCGCAATCGCATGACAGTGATGCGTATAAGTTTGAGTGTATCGGATTCATTCAGCTTATGCTTCGAGCTTGAACTGGTAGGTGAGATGAATGAGGTGAACCTCAGCGTAAGGCTCACTTTGAAGGCTCAAACTAATATCTTACCTCATTCTCCGTATCTAGCTCTAGCTTGAGCTTGAACCTCTCCGAGATGTCCACTGTGGATGATGATGATGATATGCTCAGGTCAACTCCACCTCATTTTAAAACACTCGTTTAATCACATTAAATACATGACTATACAAAAATCAGTAGTGAATTAATATTAAAAGAGAACTAAGGTTCAATCAATATTTGAATTACTAATTGAATTATTTCAACAACTACTCAAAAAAATGAATATTTTTGGGTCAATTAAACCTAAATAAAGAACTCGGAAAAGGTCACATTTCGTGAAGGTTATTTTGATCAGCATTATTATTCTTGTTATTATTGTTACTATTATATAAACAATGCATGTATAGTATATAAATAATTAATAATTATGATAATAATCAACAGTAGTAAATAAGTGACGAGAACAATCAAGATTAAAACAGTTCTGTGAAGTTAACTCAGTTGATGCGAGAATTTTTCACTGTACCATTTCTTTCTTTTCAGAACAGAGTGAATGACCCCATTGAATTGTGGTCAAAAATTGCATCATTATTAATTATACATATATTAATGAATATTGTATATATTTATTATTATTTGTTGTAGTGAGAGAATGTGAAAAACAGATGGACACGGTTAGACACAACCACAGCCATTAATAAGGACATAACGAGCACTGTAAAAGTCACTCAGCAGTCTCATACTCCAGCTGAAGCTTTTTGCGAAACGTAGGTCCGTCCACTCTACATCTAGTTCTTGTCTGTCGTCTTATTTTTATTACTATTTTATTCACATATTATTATTATTATTATTATTATTATTGTTAGTATCGATTTTTTAATTATTTATGTCATAATTTTCTCACACTGCAGTGACCTAAATATGAACATAATCGAATAAAATTACCTTAAATTAAACTTTTTTCTGAAATTATTTTCTTGAAAATACATCTTTGAAAATATTCCAATTGAAACTACCGGAAAACTGAACTTAGTATTAATTAAATATCCATAACCACGTCAAATGTTCATTTAAGAAACTGAATTTCAGTAAAATGATTATATTTAATTCAATAATTGTCACATTATTTTTAATAACTCCAGTTTAAATGCATATAAAACATTAGTAACGACAGTAATAATAGTAATAATAATAGTAATAATAATAATAATAATAA